GTGTGAATCCACTCCAAGCCTCCTCAGGAGTTTTGTTGCAAACAGCAAGTGTAGGACTTCGATTCAAAATATGCGTTGCCCAATTTATAGGTTCAGGCCAAAAAGGCTTTGGTACTTGTCTACTGGTGAGCATACAACAACCATGTTCATAATTGTACGGTATTTCTTTCGGCCACCCCATTTTGCTGAGGTGTGTAAGCAGTTGTAAGTTGGCGATGGATGTCATGTGACACACAGAAATCATTGAATGATTTTGAGGTGAATTCCCCTTCGCGATCAGTCCGTAACCCCTGATGCAAGTTTCCTTCTCTGTCTCCACTTTAGTTTTAAAAGCTTTGAAGATGCTAAATGTTTCTGATTTTTCAGTCAAGAAGAACACCCAAATTTTGTGACTAAAATCATCAATAAATGTTAAGATGTACCTCTTTTGGCTATTGGAAATTGGAAAGATAGGTCCGCAAATATCAGCATAAAGGAGTTGAAGTACTTGAGAGGCCCTCCAGATGCTTTTTTTGTGGGATGGATTTTGATGCTGCTTTCCCATCATACAATCTTTGCATAAAATGTCGGGGTTAGTAAGTGGTGGCAAACCCTTGACCATCTATCGTTGATGAAGTAGTTTTAATCCTCCGAAACTCAGATGTCCATAGCGGCAATGCCATAAGTAATCTGGATTCTCCGTATGAGTATGCAAACAATGGTCATCTTGTGTCTGGATTGTGGCAAGAAGAACAAACATTCAGTTGAAAGACATGGTTGTTTCAATAATAAGACACTTTTGTGGACGAAAGACTTTGCACATGTTATTTCGAATTAAAATGGCCAAGCCTTTCCCCTGCAACTATCCAATACTCAATAAATTATTCTTTAAAGCGGGAACATAGAATACCTCACTTATGACTTGCAAATTTTACCAACTTGCATGCGAATAGTGCCCTTGCCCATAACTTCCAGCTTGGAATTGTTTCCCAGTTTGACGGATTTGTGGAAGCCGCCATCTAGAGATGAGAACAACTCTAGTTTCCCACACATATGATTACTGCAACTTGAGTTTAAAAACCAAGCCTCTTTCCCTGAAACTCCTGCATCAACATCAACATAGGCCATGAGAAGGACTTCTTCACGTGCATATGCATCATCACTTGTTTCAACAAAATTGACCTTCAGTCCCTTGGCCTTTTTCTTTGTACATTCATATTGAAAACGTCCCAAGTCATGGCAATAGTAACACTCCACAATTGACTTATCAAAACTTTCTCTGCCTCGACCACGGCCATGACCACTAGCACCACGACCACGACCTCGACCTCGACCTCGTGCGGCGATATGGGTGTCATGTGTTATGGCCAAGGCTTGCTCTTCCACAACATGACTACTCATCCGTTGTTCATGCACCAAAAGGCTACTCTGCAATTCATCAACAGACATGTCTTCCAAATTTTTGGACTCCTCAATGGAGCAAACAACGTAATCAAATTTGGAAGACATAGATCGTATAATTTTTTCAATTACAGTGATGTTGGCCATCTTTTCAACATGAACACTCATTTTATTTGTGATAGTGAAAGTACAAGCGAAATAGGTTTCAACGGACTCTCCCTCTTTCATGTGGAGAACCTCAAACTCTCTGTGGAGTGCTTGAAGTTGTGCACGTTTGACCCTTGCATTCCCTTGATACTTTAGCTTCATCGAATCCCAAATATCTTTTGAGGTATCCTTTCTAGGATAGTCTCAAGGATGAACTGTCTATGGCTTGAAAGGATAATTTTTGCCTTCAAATCTTCTTAGATCAGCCAATCTTTCTGGACCAACTGCTACGACGGGAAACCCATCTGTAGGTTTTGGACCAGCTGCTACGGCAAGAAACCCATCTTCAATCAACATCCAGTATTCTTTTGCACGAAGAAAGTTCTCCATGAGCGTGCTCCAGTGATCGTAGTGTCCATCAAACTTTGGAATGGTTGGTTGAACAAAACTGCTCTCAATAGCCATGGCACTAGCTATGATACTAGATGTGAGAATTAATATGAGGAGATACAAGAATTGGAAGAATACTTTATTAGTTTATTCAAGTAACATGAAACGGCTATATATAGCCTTACATGAGTAACAGAGCAACACAAAATCAGCTGAATAACACAAAATCAACACCACATTAACAACCTATGGAATAAGTCTAAAATCCCTACTAAGTGGGAGTTATTAACAAACTCAAATACTACTAAGTCAAAGTCCTATCATAACAGCGGGAATGGGCTACATTGGTGGTGTTACGGGTGGTGGGTTTCAGTGGACAAAGAGAGAAGATAGAGGGAGAGATGGCAAAGTAGGGGGTGAGTTGGCATGGAGGAGGTGTTGCAGAGGTGGGTTTTGTTGCGGGGGTTGGCTACAATGGTGGTGTTGCAAGTGGTTGATTTTGGTGGAGAGAGATAGAGATGGTTGGGTTGGAGAGGGTATTTTAGGAATTATAAGTTATAATTTTGACACATTTTATCTCGACTTGCAGGTTTGAGCACGTGAGTAATACATTCCGTTAAATTAGCAACGTCCATTTAATTTTGCAGTTTATTTTTAAGTTAAGGGGACTTAGTACAATAATTAAAATTATGAGGAGGTCACGTACAAATAATCCTAAATAAGGGGGAGTTTTTTGCATTTTATTCATGTTTTGTTTATTTTCTACTGAGTGTTCGTGGGGACAATTTATATTCCAAATCAGTTCAATTGAGCGTGTTGACTGACTCAATAACTCGGTGGAGACTGAGACTTCTTTTTTTTTCGAACCGGGTGGAGACTAAAGACTTGGAAAATATTGTTTAGTCTCCTTAAGAAACTTCGCCTTGGCGTGAAAGACCCAAGGAACTGGTCTTGGCCTCCTGGCCGCCCTTTCGGAACTAACAAAGGTTGTTAAAGTACCATTATGCCCTTTACTAATCATATGATCATCAAAAAGGGCATCATGAAATTGTAAATGCCTTTGAGAATTTAAGATAAATTGGAAATTAAAGTTTAGGAAATAATATATTTTTGGCTCCCATATTATGCCTTTTGTGTGAGTTTTATCCTCAACCTTTCGATGGTCTCAATTGGTCCCTTTAAGTATTGAATTTGCATCACTTTAGTTCAATTAAAAGTGGAAATTTAAGTTGACTAATAAAGATATTTATGTGCATCCCACGTGACTACAATTTTTTTAGTTCAACAGTCAGGGATATTCAAACCAGTTTACGCGCACCTTGATTAATTTTTTTTTTGGTCCGATCAAAAATAAGTCATCCACGCCGATATTAAGAGAAAGATGACTTGGTCCGAAGGAGTTGTCAAGATTCGAATTCAAGACGTCTAATTTTATAGTTTGTCCTTGTTACCACCTGAAATACACCTTAGAGTTCTCATGTGACTACAATTAAGAGATTGCTTCAGTCCCTCAGATTTATAATGTGTGTAATTTCGGTCCCTTACATTTTCGAAAAAGACCCCTCAAGTGTGACCACTTGAAATGCACTTGATCATCTCCCCTAGTCAACTTAAGACGTCTTTTTTTGATAAGATAAAAGTGACATAAATTGAACACTTGAGGCCTGAGGGTCTACTATGAAATAACAAAAGATTAGGGATTAAACTAACACAAAAGTGTATAGTTTAGGGACTATTAGTATATTTTCTCCTAAAACTTAATAAACATTTGGAATAAATAAAGAGAAAGAAGACAATCGAGCTGATTGGCTAAGCTCACCAAATCAATTTGGGGCAGTTAATATCTTTTGTCCTGGGCATACTTAATAAAAAGAGAGAATTGTGCTCGCATTTTTTCGAGATTTGTCACTTATTCATTTAAATTCATGACATTTAAAATATTACATATAGACTTCTTAAAGTTTGTATGTGTGTAACACTTAGACCTATATCGTTAATGTTTGTTAGTATATTCGTTAGTGAATTACACTCAGATCTCTTGAAATTTGTAGGCATGTAATACTTAAACCTCTCAATTTTAAAATGTTATATTTAAACAAAATATATTTCAATCAAAGATAGAATATCAAATATTTTAAATTTTACAACCAATATTTATATTCTATTGTATCATTTAATGAAATAAAATTAAAAATTAAATTAAATTTTTTTAAAAAAAATTGTAATTAATACAATTATACTATCTATTAGAATAAAACTAAAAAATCAAACAAAAAGTTTAAGTCATTCATAATAGAACATGAATTTTACAACTAAAATTCATATTCTATTGTATTATTTATTGAAATAAAATAAAAAAATCTAATTTTTTTAAAAAAAATTGTAATTAGTATACAATTATACTATCTATTAGAATAAAACTAAAAAAATTAAATAATGAGTCTAATTCATTCATAATAGAACATAAATTTTATAACCAAAATTTATGTTATATTATGTCATTTATTAAAATAAAATCAAAAATAGAACATTTTAAATTCTAATAGATAGTATAATTATATGTTAATTATAATTTTTTAAGAAAAAATTAGATTGTTATTTTTGATTTTATTTAAATAAATGTAATAATATAACATTTTAAATTTGAGGAGTCAAACTGTTACGTGCGTACAAACCTTAAGACATTTATGTATAATATTTTAAATATCAAAAAATTTGAGTAATTAAGTGATAAACTACCGTTGAACACCCTAGAGCGATTTTATTTTGTCAGCTTTTGCAATTGCCCATCATTTAAATTATGTCCTGATATACCAAAATCATGTAGATTAGCTTTAGTTTTGTTTTTCTTAACAATTGTGATAATTATTATTGATATCATAATCAAATATGGAGGGCATAGGTTATATTGACTTGAAATTAAATTGAAAGCCAAGGGTAGTATCATACACAAAAGTCCAACTCAAATTTCTTATAATCCTCCTGATAAGCCATCCTCCCCCTCCACCTCCCTACCTCCCCTCTCCCCCCTATCTCCCTCCCTCCGTTCCTCCTTTCATCCACTGCAGCAAAGAACCAGAACCATGGACAGAGAGCAAGAAGAGATGCAATTTCTTAGCCTCTTTGGCATCTACACAGAAGCCTACAAGGTCATCATCACATGGAGAAGAATCTTCAGCCAAATCACCCTTGCTCTGATCCTCCCTCTCTCCTTCATCTTCCTCGCCCACATCGAAGTCTCTGACGTACTTTTATCAAGAATCTGGCACACAGAATTCCAGCTAGATCGTACCCGCCCCAACACTCCTAGATACAGCAAGCTCTCAGACCTTATCTCCACGGAATGGACCTATTTCTTGCTTTTCAAAGCTCTTTACTTCACCTTCCTTCTCATTTTCTCTCTCCTCTGCACCTCCGCCGTGGTTTACACCATCGCTTGCATCTACACGGCTCGAGAATTAAGTTTCAGGAAGGTCATGAGCGTTGTTCCGAAGGTTTGGAAGAGACTCATGATCACTTTTCTCTGCACCTTCTTTTTCTTCTTCATTTACAACGTTGTTGCAATAATGATAATTATGACCTGGGCTTTAACGGCTGGATTCACCAAATTTGGTACTGTGATCTTCTTCATCCTCTTGATCATATACTCAGTTGGGTCTGTGTACTTGTCAATTATTTGGCACTTAGCCTCTGTTGTATCGGTTTTAGAAGACTCCTATGGGGTCAAAGCCATGATCAAGAGCAAGGACCTGATAAAGGGAAAGATGGTTATCGCCGTAGTCATCTTCCTCAAGCTCAATCTCTCTCTGTTTGTCATACAATTTCTGTTTGAAAACTTTGTCGTCTATGGAGAATCTCTGGGGACTTTGAAGAGATTAGGGCTTGGAGTACTGTGTTTCTTGTTGCTGTTCAAATTGATTCTCTTCGGATTGGTGATTCAGACAATAATTTACTTTGTCTGCAAATCTTATCACCATGAAAACATCGACAAGTCAACGCTGTCTGATCATCTTGAGGTTTATCTGGGAGAGTATGTGCCTTTGAAGGCCCAGGATATTCAGCTTGAGCACTATGAGGTCTGATCGTTGACTATTGTTTGGTAGTAGCCACTATCAAGGTGGTTGTTGGATTTTAATTAATCGATATATGATCAAGGTTCTTGGAAACCGATTGTAGATGTACCTAATTCGTCAAATGGATTATAAACCTTTCACATATTAATTGTTATTGTTGGTTACACCGTTTTCCTTTTCTTTTTCTTTTTCTTTTTCTTTTTTTTTTTTGTTTTTATTTTGTAGTTTATTTTTCTTTTAATTTCTTTTGATGGTAGATTAATAAATAGTTTATTAGGGTATAACTCGAATAATTTGGGTTGGCTATGAGTCATACCATATACTCAATTTGAGGTAAAAAAAGACTCTACTCGAGTTCGATCCAATTCAAATTTCAACTTAAGTTACCCTATTTGACCATGGCCTATCATCTCCATACAACGGGGGTGTGCAAACTATTTACCACAATGACCGATTTACCAACGAGTGGGAATATCTTGAATTTTTTTGTTCAATATTTTGATTCGAGTTTTCATACTTACAATAATTGGTGATGACTAAACTCACTATTCAACGTTTAGAGTATTGGATGAGATATTAGTTTCGACTTCGACATAGGCGCAATGAGATATCCCGCAAATAATAATAATTATGTAATACTGAAAGTCAATAGTCTTTAACAAACACATGAAATGATATCTTTTATGTTGCATTAAATGAACATACAACTATCTCATGTTCTGAAAATCCGTTTCTCCCCCACTTGGGGGATATGGCTAGGTAAAGTTGATGAGTACCAATGATCGAAAGAAGTGGCTCCATCGCTGAATTCTATTGAATGTAGGTAAGTCTGCATTGACTAACCTCATTTACAAGTTATGAGCCTAATTTGACATTTTAACTCTCCATGTTATGAAAGTTTGCGTTGAAAGATATGATGTCATGCTCACCCTTATGCTTCGTAAATAAAGATGACTGGACTGTTGCATAATATTTGGTTGGGCAATGTTATTGGAACCTAAAAGTTTAACCTAATTTGTTATGACAATGTGTTCTATCAAACATTAAAACTTAGTGTTGATCAATAACTCTAATGAAACCGCATTATTAGTTAACTAGAGAGAACCCATGTAATGCGAAACACATTTTTTGTGTGTGGTTGTTTAAGAAGTTTATTGTGATTTAAAATATTTATTGTGATTGAACTGTTTTTATATAAATATAAAGAGTTACTTTATTTAAAAAATTAAAATATAAATAATAAGATAAGTTGTTAGATCTAAATAATCGGGGGTGCTGTTGTTTTGTTTTTTTAGATTAGTAGTTTAAGTAGGACGTTTTGTTTTATTAATGTAAATGGTTCGATTATGACTACTCCGACCCCTTTACATTGTGATACATTAATTTTGCTTTAGCTGATAGAGAGTGTGTCTCATTCCTCTTCGTCTCTCTTTGTTCAATCTGCTTTTCATGATTGGTAGAAGTAGAACTCCATTGACATACAGATGCACACTCAGGCCTAAGTGAAGGGCAATTTTAGGTTTTCGGGTTTAGAGGGAATGAATATTTTTTAGAGTAATGTTACACTGACCAAATTTTAAGACTAAATAACATGGCAGCTGACTTAAGTTTCTTTATTTGGTGTCGTGTCATTTGGGCCCCAATAAAGATTTTAAATAATGTGTTGTCATATCATTTGGGCTCTCAATGTAGTCCTCAAATTTGGTCAGCTGTATTTTTTAACCGATGTTTTTAACTCTCCTTGGAATTAATAATTTCATAAATATATTGTTAAATTAAGGTATTTTTAAATTGGGTACTTGGAAATACCCCTATCTCTATCTCTTTATCTCTCTTAGACACATGTGCGCACACAAAGTATACATATAAAAAATTTGGTAAATTACTCTTGGTTATATTTTTTAAAACAGTTTTCTATTTTGAGAAACAACAAAAATTGAAAAAACTTGTTTGACTAGTGGTTTCATTCTTAATTTTTAGAAAATAGAACCTCAATAGGACTCATTTTTTAGAAACATCTGAAGATGTTATCTTTGTTTGCAATCCAAAATGAAAACATGGGATGAGATATGGTCTTCGAGTTTCGTCGGAGATATTTTTAGCCATCTCTCTTGTAACTCGGTTCAACAGACGCAATCACTCATTGGAAGCCCTCTCTCTCTCTTTCTCAACTCTCTCTCTCTCCTTCTCTACTGAATCCAATAGATCCGTGTATATATACAAATTAAAACACACACAGAGAGAGAGAAGGGCGATGTGTGTGGCTTTGCTTGGCGATGTGTATGTGTGTGGATATGTGTGCTATGTGCAATGTGTGTGTACTGTGTGTGTGAGTGTATGGGTTTGTTGTGTGTGTGTGTGGAGACAGAGAGGAGATAATGAAGAGAGAGAGAGAGAGAAAGACAGATGAGACTAAAGATGAAAATTGGGTTGGGGGGTTTTGTGGATCATTATTCAAACAAGTTTTACTATATTATGTTCTTTAAAATTATTTTCAGAAATAAATAACCAAACAAGTTTTGTAATATAAAAATTTCAAAATACACTTTCTTAAAACTTTTCTCAAAAATTATTTTTTGATACTGTTAAGATGCAATCTAAACACACCCTACCCTAATTACCTTTTTGGTGCATGTTTTTAGATCGTATATAAAATTGTTATGTATAATTACCGCTTCATTGATATCCTGAACATGATCGTCACTTTTGCTTCACCCTCATTGCAAGGACATTACCTACGACATGAATGATCAGAAACGACTGGACCAAAATGAAATTAATGCATATGTTACGTGAACTAACTAAGGGATCTATCAGGACCCTCTTCTCCAAATAGAGGTTTATAAAGAATGACATATCAAAGGTTAAGACTAGGCCAGTCAATGGGCCAAGATGCTAGGCTCAAATCTTGGTTGTCCGGGTGCCCATTCTCAGCATTAACGTTTGGGTAAGTAATGGGCCCAAAGTTTATTGATACCTCTACATTAAAAAAAAAATTAGCAAATTTCTTTGTCCTTTTTCTTGGATCAATTATGTTTTCCTTTTAAAGCAAACTTGCATTTTAATCAAATTTCTTATATTATGATCAATATATCAGTTTATGATGTTTGTTTTACGATTATACATATACCCAACTATGCACTACTGCATTTAAACCGGATTTTCAAGCTAAAATACTATAATATGAGTGTTTTCTGATCTGTTATATATGCATAATTCAAAAACGATAATAATTAATTCTTTATTATAATTGCTCACATTTGCAAGCTAACTTTCTCCATCTTTTGCACTCTTTAGAATCAATCAAATTTGATATTTCAATTATTTCGACAACTCTTTTGGGCATTTGCTAAGAAAAAGAAGCACATTTGCTTGAGGAAACATGCCGAATTACTTCTAAGAAGTGGTCACAAAAAATTTTCTTCCATAGAGAGGCACCATAGGCTTCTTTCTATACCTATTTTGGATGTAAGAGGTGTTATAGAGGGGCACTTGTTTATATTTGGCTAATCTGATTAGGTTCGGGTTTGGAGAACGAAAAAATAAAATTTGTCCAGAAAATTAACTCGCAAAATCACATAAAATAGCTTAAATAAACTGCTGAAATGATGATATCAAACATTATATGCACATGATTGCAAATTATAGGGAAGAATGTTTATGTAGATTCATTTGTAGATGTTTAATGTGGAAGAAAATCTATTTAAAAAACATATGAAAAAAATAAAATATTTTGATCCTATGCTTTGATTGATGACCCACATACTTGGGCTTTGACAAAAAGACTCCATCAAAATAATTCAATTGCCAATTCATAGATAGAGATATCATCTCACCGACCATCAATGAGATTAAGGAGGTTTGAACCTTTTTTTCGAACCTTATAACTAGCATCAAAAACCTACTTTTTGCCTTCTTCTCATTATTATTTTTTGGATCCTTTAAAGACTAGGTCTAATATTGCAACCATGAAGTGCAATCATCATTTATATTAGTTAGTACACACGTGTGTTGTACGTGAATCATTTTGAGGATGAAATATTGTATATCTAATTCGTGAACTACTTTCCTAGAAATTCAACCCAAATAAATATTGATGAATGCTTACTAAATTATGTAACCCATATTACCAACAAACTAATTCATTCGAATCTAGAGCACAAATCTTTGTGGATATAGATGTGAAGTTAAAATGACCGAAACTCACATGGCACTGAGCTTCTAAGGTCAAAAATAGCTCTATCATCAAGAATAACAACTCCCCAAATAAACATTCTAATGATTGCTCGTAACACTAACACAATTTTAAATAATCGACTCATTTCATAATTTATTATTGTGAGATGTTGATGTGGGCAAAAGAATCATACAGGGCATAACTAATATAATTTAATCACTGCAAATCACTATTGGTAAAGGATAATGTTGACAGTAAAAGCATTGATTAAAGACAAAATATGTAAAATCATATTAATTCATTGTTCCCCATTTCACCCTTTTAATTCATACTTTGTTATAAAATCAATTACCATAACTTTTAAAAAGCGAAAAAGCATGTGTTAAGCATTGAATAGAAACGAACAATACAAAAATGCTGGTAAAATTTGTACCATTGTGATTTTTCTACCATTGGTTGACATTAAATGATTGTCCTAATAGTAAACAAAGATTTGATGAATATTTTGCTTTTGATCATCATCAAGAGGTGTAGGAGATGTACTTGAGTTGACATATTCCTATTCTGAAATTGCATCTTTAGTATGTATTTGTCACCAAAGAAGTCTAAGTTAAGGTGTCTTTATCAAGGATGCTAAATGTTTTTGTTTGTATAATCTGACCGATGTTGAATTCACTGGAGTTCATATTGTTGTCATAATAATTGGGACTGCAAGTATGCCAAAAAGAACAAAATGACATAAGAGAACCATATTAAAATCGGAGTTAACCCATAAACAACCAAACTATACCTCTACAAATCCATCAAATAATCCACTACACCCAAAATTAAG